TTGTCGGTCGTGGGGCTTGAACTCTGGGCCTGGGCGCTGTCCCTCAGCTCTTCAGCTCAAGGCAAGCGCTCTACCACTTGAGCTACAGCACCACTTCTGGTTTTCTGGTGGTTTATTGGAGATAGGAGTCTCACGGTCTCTCCTGCCCGGGCTGGCTTTGAACCACGATCTTCAGATCTCAGCTTCCTGAGTAGCTAGGATTACAGGCGTGAGGCACCAGCGCCCAGCTAAGGACACTATATTTTTAACATGAGTTTCTCAGACAAAAGTTGAAAGTCTGCAGGTTTATAAAGACAGAATCTGTGGATACTGGTATAGATCCATCCCCATGATCTTTGTAGAATCTCATGTGTAGTACAGGCATTGCCATCTCAAAGCAGATGGAAGGTATTCCTGGTAGGAGAAGGGTATTTTGCATATACGGTATTTTCTCCAGAAGCTATCACCGCTACCTCTTTGTAGACATTCTCACTTAAATGGAGAAATACATTTTACCTGTCAGTGTTGTTCAGCTGAAAACATCTGAATACATATGAAGATAGTACAACCTGGATTGGCTGCAAATAGCAGTCCTCTTTACCTTTGCTTCCCATATAATTGGGGTTAGAAGCATGTACCACTATGCCCAACTAAAAAAGGTTTTTGAGAATTTGACAAAGGGATGACCAAACCCCTTTAAAAATAATCTGTTGTGTATGTGTTATTTAACTGAAAATTAATATTAAATTTGTGATATGGGATGCTTATGCTCATAAATATGGTAAAATTGTGAAAAGTTGTGTCTAATAATCTATAATTTGGAATTGGTAATAAAACTGTATGCACATGCTTGTTCAATTCATTCTAGGTTGGGCCATGCAAGCTGCTGCCTATATCTTTATTCATAGGAAGTGGAAAGATGACAAGAGTCATTTTGAAGACATGATTAATTATTTTTGCGATATCCGTGAACCACTTCAACTTCTCATATTCCCAGAAGGAACTGATCTCACAGGTAAGGTAGCTCAGGTTCTCAGAGTTTTAAAACAAAGGAATTTAGAAATCATCAAATATAGTAGCTGAATATTACCAACATTAATGTACTCACCCCTAAGGTCACTCAGTTAATCAATAGCATGTCAGTACTCAGGACTGCAGGTTTTCACTATATTGAATTCATTATAGGCAACCACAGGAGGCTGTTATTATGCACACTTATTATTCTAGCGCTTGATGTAATGTGCTGCCTTTCTCCTAATATGGGCAGGAAAATTTTTGTTCCTTCCTGAAGAAAAATCAGCCATCATTGAGTTATGGAGGGGACACAGGAGGACTTGTTTAGAACTTTCTTACCTTTCCAGACAAAAAATTGGTAACAAAATATTATACAGTATATCATATATATGTTCATATTCTTATTAAAATCAGTATTTTTCATACTTATTTAAACCACAGATGATTTTTACAGTTGAAAGCTTTTGTTGCAGTCCAGGATGAAGATGGGTCAAAATAGAACTGCCTTTTTTGATTACTGGGAGGGATAGGGTAAAACCATAATTTGGAACAAGAAGTAGTTCTATAGAATCCTTGCACACAGAAGAGTAAATTGAATACCCTGCAACCTCAAGAAACATAAAATAGAATTTGAGAAAGATCTAGTAGATGAAGGTCCACTATATGAGGGAAAGCAGATCAAAGCAGAACAGAATGGAAATCTAAAAATTACAAGTAGTATGGAGAAGAGGAAGATGAACTTGTCTTTCAAATCCTTGTTGCTTAACTGAGATGAGCAACCCTCAGGACATAAGAAGAGAGATAACTGAGCATACTTTAACACACATGCTTAAAAAATAATTTGTGAAACCTAATAATTTATGGAACTTATTGTCCAAATAGCATTCAAGATGAACACTGTAATTTACACAATTATTTAAATAAATAAAGGGTGACTGAACCATAGTTGATAAAGAAATTCAGATATATTGGGAAATTTTCATAAAGAGATCTTTGATTCATTTGTTGCAGAGACTTGAGCAATATTAACTATGTCAAGTTTATAAACTAGGCACATCTCTAAAACATGAATTCCATATAGTGTATGATTTTGGTATTACAATTCTAAAATGCTAACTAATTAACTTATTAATTAAAATTGAGAGGTGGTACTAGGGTCTAATTCAGAGTTTAGGTGTTTGTTTTGGGGAGATTGTTATTTGGAGATAAGAATCTCTTACCTTCCCAAACTGGCTTTGAAGCACTATCCTCAGATCCCAGTCTCTTGTGTAGTTAGGATTATAGGTGGGAGCCACCAGCACCCAGCTTCTGTTAAATTTCTGTTTAGAGACTAAATGCTCAAGCAGAAGACTTATGTCTGAATAGGTAGGAGGCCTCTGGGTAAACAGGACAACTTCATAGACCTGAGGAGGAAACAGACCTAGCGGGCCTGAGTATGGCAGAGTGGTGGTCTCAGACTTGTGGGTGGAAGCAGTCTGAAGTAGGACAGCGACAGGGAGTGAGCTGACAGGAGGTTGATCTAAGGAGAGATGCTAGTGCACTTACTAAAATAACAGCGTCTGGGGCAGGTAGATGATGTTAGTGTGGAGGGAAGACTTTCCTAACTATATCCTTCAGATTATGTCTACTTTCCCAAGTAGTGACAGTACACTGACAGTACAGTTCAGGATTATTTTCTTTGTAGTCACATCTACAACAAAATTCAGTTTGTCTCCAGAATCCCCAGTCTACTGGAAGAGTAACATGTATTTAGTTTCTACTCATCTTTGTGGTATCTCTGGGATTTCTAATCCCAATTAAGGTCTGTCAGTTGCCGCTAACAGAATAATGTTTCATACCCCTATGCCAAAGATATTCTCAAATGCTAGAGAGAAGCTTATTACTGTCCATGTGTGAAGGCCTTTCCTTTTTAGTTGCTAGGGAACTGGGTGTTTAAAATTCAATTCTTCTATTATAAAATGATACATACTTTCTTCAGTTTTCTGTGGATATTTTAGAGTTGTGGAATATATATTTTGTTGAGCATTCAGTTCTTCTAAATTGATTCAGAGGAAAGTTTTGTTTATATAGATACTTTTCTTGCACTTGGAATAATAGCCTGTAAATTTAAGAATGCAGTATGGAATAAGAGTCCTAGCATCTGCTGTGATCCAAAGGTATCTCATGACCTCCCCTAGAAGGTAAGGGAAAATTTCTGAGCACTTTGCTTTTTCCAGCTGTATTTGCTGAGTAATGGGTTTGGTTCTTCTTGGAATTTTTTGTTACCTCATGGAATGGAAAAAGGAGATTTTGCCAACAATTGGAATATATACTTGACTCTGTAACTATATTCAGCCAAACCATGTTCAGATATTTGTACATGATATGCTAATCCTGTGTCCATTCTGTTGTGGAGTGGTTTTGGTTAGTAATATTTGCCTGCTCTGTGCCTGAGCAAGGCAGTTATTTGCTGTGAAAACATAATTATTGGGTCAAAAAATGTTGATCTGTTGTTTCTGATTGCCAGTTATTTCTTCTGCCTATCTAGATCCTTCTCTTCTGTTAGTTTTTGAATCTTAATTTATCAGAATTTTGTATTTTAATATCTCATTTTTCATAAGGATTATAACTGTAAAATTTTTAGTTTATTAATATTTAATTTATATTTTGGGTTTCATTGCATATTGACTTTTGTAAAGTCTTCTAAATAATGTAGATTTGAACAGAAAGTTCAAGACTCTTTTGTTAAAAATATGGTGATACAGCCAGGCATGGTAGCTCATGTAAAACCAAGGAGGACTGCTATTTGAAGTCAACGAGGGCCAAAAGTTAGTAAGCCCCCCCCCCCATCTCACAAAACAAGCTGGCGTGTGGTTCATAACTGTCATTCCAGTGGTTAGGGAAGCTGTGGTTGGGAGGATCGTGGTCTGAAGCCAGCCTTGGGTAAAACGTAAGACTCTATCTGAAAAATGACCCAAAAAAGTAAGAGAAGAAAATAAAATAAAGTGGGGGGACGTGGCTTAAGTGGGAGAACTCCTGCCTAAAAAGTGTAAGGCCCTAAGTTGAAACTGTACAGCTGGGAAAAAAAAAGAAAATCATGATACATGCATGACTTAAAACATTTAAGTGGGTGTGAGATGTTTGTAAGGGACTATCTGAAATGTCTGCTGAACCATCTGAAATATCCTATATTAAGTAATACATATACTATATTCAGTAATTATAGAACATTTAACTGCTGTCTTTAGCTAAGAAATTCTGCATATCTTTACCTCATTGTCTCCCTTTATTTTAATAATCTATTATTTTGTTTAGAAAATAGCAAGGCTCGAAGTAATGATTTTGCTGAAAAGAATGGACTTCAAAAATATGAGTACGTCTTGCATCCAAGAACTACGGGCTTTACTTTTGTGGTAGACCATTTAAGAGAAGGTAAGTGTCCATTTCAAAATATACTTTTTTCCTAATAAAATTGGCATACATTGTTAAACTTTTATATTTAGTCCTTAGCTGATGCAACAGTTGCCTTCATCTGCAATTTCCACACTGTCTCACAACATGACAAGTCTTGAACCATCATGCAAGAAGATAAATGGTATCACTGTGGATCTGTTAGTCCCTAATGTGCTTCAAGATACAATGTATGACCTGCAAAGATGAAGCTTCTTTACAACTAAGAACCCATGATTTTAAAGAAATGTGCTTTGCTCTCTCAATCCTTATGTTGGTTTTAGCTGATACCTTGTCCCTCTTCGTTTAATTTATTTTGGCAACTCTGGGGTTGTTATAATAATAGGGCATGGGCTTGAAGGCCTAAACAATCCTATTGTGTATGACAAGTGAATGCTTATGGAGGGCGTAGATCTTCATGCCTTGAGAGTGGGGTAGAGAGGAAAGACACTGGGTAGTTCTATTTCTTTCCTTTTCTTAATGTGACAACTTGATTGCAACATCTTTCTTGCAATCACCTAGTCAGTAGAGCAGTTATATTTTGTGGTATTGAATGATGGTCTTCATTGGTGTTTCTGACATCATGGAACATATTCAGCTATCACATTTCCCTGTTGATGAGTTATGACTTTGAAACACATCCTTTGTGTGGACAAGAGAGTTGCAAGTTGTTATAGTAGATAACAATATATCTATTAAGCTGTTTGTTCTGAAATGTAGGAAGTATTTTGGTAGAACACTCGCATATACCTTTGTTACCTATTAGAGGAATGTGTATTTGCACTTATAGCATTAGTTAACCATAACTAGTAATTTTTCTACAGAACTAGCAACTGGCCCTCCCACCCCACTCCATCATACCCCATCTGTCAGGTGAGTGAGAAAAACATGTATCTCATTTGTTTCAGTTAGAAAACTAGATGATAATTTAGGTGATTCTGTTTATTTCATTTTGAAAGGTAAACCGAACCTGTACATTTTAATAATAATAAGAAGAAATACATTATTATTAAAATAGTAATATCATTAACCAAGCATTTGCTAAGTAGCAGCATTGTACTAAATATTTTATGCTTAAGTTCAGTTAATCCATAAAATATCCTTACATGGTAGTTATAGTACAAAATCAGAGCAAGTGAGGCAAAGAATCTCGTCATTTATTAGAATATAGTTTGTCTAACTGAGAAGCACATACTCTTTGTATTTGTTGCTTCTTACAGTCTAATTATTTTGTAAAGCCTCAGAATCATAAAGCACTTTTATAACACTAGTCAACTAGATTATTTTCTTCAATTTAAAAGAAAGAATGAAGAGAAAAAAGAGGCTCAATGTCCTGACTATGGAAGAATGGTAGTCACACGGTGTATTGGTGTTTATGACTCTGCCTGAGATGATGGGAGACGCAAATGTAGACTAAAGAGCTGTTGTCTGGGATGCTGAGGACTACTTCGGTTTCTGGGGGGACAGTTGGAGGGAGCACAGAGAGAGAAACGGTTTTAACAAGGACCAGTGATGAAGAGAATCTTAGAAGTATCTAGTCTTTAAAACCTGCTTCTGACAACATAGTTTTAAACCTTTAAATAAATAATTATACCAGAACTTACTTACATTCATAATGATCTCTCATGGTTTTTTTTTTTTTTAACAATAATAGCTCAGTTCTTCTTGGCCTACCATGTGTGATTTTTTGTTGTGTACATTTTTGGGGGAGAATACATTTTACATCCATCCCAACCTACTCCTTCCCTCACTTTTCTTTATATAGGGAGTACATTGAATTCGTTACTGCATTCTCCTCCACACCTTCTCTTCATTTGTTTGCTCTCACTCTTTGTAAGCCAATTATTCAGTTGAGGCCAAACAATAATTACTTTCACCATTAGGAGGCACAGGTGTGCACATTTGAAACCTTGAAAAGGAGTAGTGGGAAAAACGAATAAAAAACATCCTTAGTTCAAAGTATGTACTACTTGAGACATGACCTTGTCTTCAAAAGTTCAATTGTCATGGATCGGTAAGAAAAAAAATCTAAAACATAATATGAGACAATATATTAAAGTGCTAAGTTCTATGTGTGTTGGATATAGGTATTATACTGATTTTTTAAATGCAGGAATATTCAGTAAACATATCATAGAGTACTGCTAGATTCAAGTGAGGTTTCTGAAGGAAGCTGAATTTCTCTTAGACAATAGTGACTGCAAGTGATATGAGTAGGCAGAACAAAAACAGGGATGGCTGAGAAGCAGTGTAAGTTAGGACACAGACTCAGGATTAACAGGGAGTAACATAGTCACCTTGGAAAAGTCAAACTGAAGGAGTTGAAGACTTGAACTGTAGAGCAGCTGATAATACTTAAGGCTGTTGTTTGACACCATTGCTATTTAAAAATTTGATATTCCAAATGTTCATGATTTTAGTTTGTCTGCTTCTAGATTAATTCTCTCAAAGAAAATCATTTTATAAGTCTAAATCATCATCAAGGTATATTTAAAGTTATGTTGGAAATTCATAAAAACATTTTGAGTTTTTGGTAAAAAAATTCCCATTTTTACTTATATTTAGCTCATTCATATATTCTAAATAGGCAGAAATGAAGCTAATGCTCTTTTCACAAACCTAGGGCATACAGAGATAACCTCTAAAGGAAAAGTAAATTCCCACCATGTAGTTTGGATCTGCGTGGTCTTTATTCAGCAAGAGAGAATTTCTGACATTTCTGTTATCTGATAGATGTGTTTGCCTCTTTCATTTGGGCCCAGGAGTTGTCATTTGCTTAGAGAAAATTGGAAGTAAAAAAGCCATATAACAGTTCTAGACAGTTGTCTTCAGCAGTGTTCAACTCTTTTAATTCCTTGGACTTTTTGCTCAGTTAACAACTACGTGCTGGCAGTTCAGTCTGTTTGTGGCCACCATGTTGGCAGCTTACATGTCAGCATTTATTTTACTCAGTCAGCTCCTCCCAAGGTTACATATCATTTAGCCATCCTAACAGCTAGTTAAAAAGACAAGGAAGAAAGGCAGACAGACAAATTTTTGAAACATTGGGTATATTTTATACTGTGCACCCTGACCTTTTCAGAAGGCTTTTCCTGGCTAAAAATGATTTATGAAATATGGAAAGCCCTTTCCCTCATGTTAATAATATAATTGTACAATAGACCTTTGGCATTTGCTAGAATATTTTCTGAAATTTTTTCCATTTCTTCAAATTTGCAAATATCTTTGTAGATTAACAGTTGACTTTCTTTTGGGGTCATAGTATAGGAACAAATACTTTGTCTTTTGATTTTGACAAAAAGACAACAAAACCAGAATGAGATTGGGATACTGAATAGTGGGTCAACACATGGGTTACCAAAGTGACTTGGAGATTTACATACCATGAAACAGAAATTGTTCATAATATTATACATGAGCATATGGCAGAGACTTACAGATTTTTCTTCATATCAAATCTTTACATCATGTTTTGGATTAGAAATGATACTTATTTTGTATCCTTTGTTTATTTTACCCCCCCATAGCAAAATAATATGAGCTATTCATTTGTAACAGATCTTATCTTATACTTAATGAAAAAACAGCCCTGATGAAAAATACTATGATTTTTGTACCTTGAAATAACTAACATTTATTACATACCTCACATGTGCCAGGCATTGGATTGTATATGTTATTTCCTTGCCTTACCCATAAAGTAGAACCACCCAACCATCCATGGTGCTTTCTTGATTTTTTTCTTTAATTTTCCTTTCTATTTTTGTGGCAGTTTTGGTGCTTGACTCAGGGCCTGAAGGTTGTCCCTGCATTTCTTCTGCCCAAGGCTAGCAACTGTACCAATTGAGCCACAGCACCACTTTGGTCTTTTTCTAAATAATTTATTGGAGATAAAAGTTTCCTGCTCAGGCTGGCTTCCAACCACAATCCTCAGATCTCAGTCTCCTGAGAAGCGAGGATTACAGGCCTGAGCCATCAGCACCGCACTCTGGGTGCTTTCTAAAAACTCAAGGTACTTAGCTCAGAAGTCAGACCTGGGAGTCAGCCTGTCATACGATCCTGGTCTCACCACTGCCTCCTGCCACTCTCACATGCCATTTGATTCTCCCAGCTCCAGGCAGTAGTTATGCCATTCCATGCTATTGGAGACCAATTCCTTTTCGCAATTTTCCCAGGGTTATACAGCTGCTAAGTAGAGTAGCATAACTTAAAATCCGATCTGTTTAAAGCCTGTGCTTTTCCCACTGTAATAAGTACAGAGATATTCTATTCCAAAAGCTACAAAAACTTATTCCTTCCCACTTCCAAGATTTCTCTTTGATCTCTTTAGCTTTGGGGGATTTTTGTTTAAGTGGAAAAGTATATGAGTTTTCCTTTATAGTGACCTCTTTTATTTTTTGTTATTTCTCCATTTATTACTTCCTTCATTTCTCTAACCTTTCGGGAACACTTGAGAAACACACTTTTCTTAAAATATAATGCCAGTCATTTAGCACTATATAACTGAAAAAAAGTTGTCCTGGATGTCTTGATGTGTATTTGCTTTATGTTTCTACTAGAGTATAAAAAAAAAGAAATGACATCCTAATTTCTGTCTTTTCAAACTGTGTCTCTTTTTCTTCCTTCTGGCTATTAAAGCTTAAAAATATTTTTATGACTTCATTTTCTCAGCTTGCTTTCCAAGTGATAGAATTTTAAAAATTATAGCATAGGAGCTTCATTATGATAGTAACAACATGTATATACTATATGGTAGTACTAAATTTTATTGCAAAAAGGACATTAGTATTAAAAATAAGATGAATGTAAAAAAGATAATAAAGGCATCCATTGTCTTACACAGTTCTTAGAAAGATGGTACTCATCATTTGTATGTAATATTCCTGTTTTTTTTCCAGAACCTAATAAGGTTTTTTTTTTTTTTGTATGATATGCAGTCTACCCTGTCTTTAAACTGAGGTTGGCTAATATGTTTCTCAGAA